TATTACATAGTTATTAAAATATAGGAATTAACTCCAAAATCTGCAAGTTGCAAACAGTGTTGTAAATCAACTAAGCAATTATCATGAGATTTTTTAAGTGACTGAATACAGATTCAGAATCATGAAGTTATTATCTAATAACCCAACAAGTGATGTGAATAAATCCTTGCTAATACAAAAATTATCAGCCACTGAAACACCCTTTTCTACAAGCAGGTCTGTGGATCCTCATGCTAATGCACTTAGATTGATAAACCACAGACATTCTCTGAAAGCTTCATTTGTTCCAGTTGCTGAGGCTTGTGCTTAGAGAATCTGTCATGCAAATGATCAGCAAATCATAATCTGCAATTTGTTTTCATTTAATAGGCAGACAGGTTTTCACCAATTTAGACTCAAGTCCTATTAATACGCTTTGAAACTAATTACTGGAAAATGAATTTTAATGGCAGGATTTTATCATTTATTATGTTCCCTTCTGTCTCTATAAAGGAAGACTCAAAGCCATCTACTTGCACTTTGAAAATATATGTTAAATAGGCACAAGCCATAATCTCCTGTCATCTGGGCCATTGCAAAGGAAACCCTAATCCTCTCTCCTGCAATAATCCATTCTACACTCTACTCTTAAAATTACTTTCTTATTATCCTATTTCCCTTCCACAAAAGCTTCAATTCCCTGTCAAATAAATAGCCGACACTTTAATATGACTTTGTTGCCCTCCATTATCTGTTCGCAGTTAACATATTTTTATCCTTATTTGATATTGCAATATAACATGTACACAGAAAAAAGCATGAAACATTAATTAATAAATAGTAAAGTAACACCCAGAAATCACTACCCAGAGTGAAAAGCAGACCATTGTCATTACCACAGAAACCACCTCTTCGGTGCATCTTTCTGATCAGCCCCTTGGCAGCATCCCAGAGGCTAACCACCCAGAGGTAATCACTTCCTCTATTTTCTTTAGATTGTCTCCAGCTACATGTGAATTCTTAAATAATATAGTCAATTTACCCATTTTTGAATGTTATGTAAATGGAATCAAACTCAGCTTTCCTTCGCTATTGCTTTTTTCTACCAACTTATTCTCTTAAACATTCATTCATATTAGGGTACATCTTCTGTTAACCTCAATTGTAAGCTGTTTAGTATTCCACAGCATCAATGTACCACAATATATTTATCTTTTCCATGTTGATGGGCATTTGCATTTTTAGATTGTTTCCAGATTTGAGCTATTACAGACAAGGCTGCTATGAACATTCTTGGACATATAGTTTGGTGCCCAGTATTCTTTTGTATTCATACCCAAGGAATGGAATTTCTAGGACATAGCCATGCGTATCTTCATACTAGATAAATATCGATGTAATACTTACAACCAGGTAATATTAACTTGTATATAAGTAGCTCCATACGCTACCAGGCAAGTCAAAATCTTTTTCAAAATGGTTGTAAATTTATATATCCAGCAGCAGTGAATGCTGTTCACTCCTATTTCTAGTTCGACTTCTAAAAATAGGAGCACTTCTATTTCTTTATATGCCTGACAGTACTTGGGATTATCAGACCACCTCACTTTCTGTTCCTCCTCTATTTATTCTCGCTTTGGGATTTTCTATCCTCTTGTTTATTCTTCCTTCACTCTGGGTATTAATTCTGACCTACTGCAATTTGTGAATTCTTTCTTCATCTGTTTCTAATATGTTAAAGACTCAGTCATGAAGAATTCTTTCTTCATCTGTTTCTAATATGTTAATGACTCAGAAACTTTGGTAATTGTCTTTTCTAATTCTCAAATTTGTTTAGTTCTTTTTCAACTGTATAACAACACTTTTTGTACTTTCTAGTTTCCTGACAAATAAAAAAAAAGTTGCCCTTCATTTCTTCAAGCACAATTAATGTAATATTTCTAATATGCATGTGAAAATTCTAATATCTAAATTCTTGAGAGATCAATTTCTGTTCCTCGTTTTTTCTGCAGGTTCTATTTTTGAAGAATTGTGTTGGTGCAAAAGTAACTGAGGTTTCTGCCATTACTTTTAATGGCAAACACTGCAATTACTTTTACACCAATCTAATATTTCTTTTCACCACATTTCTTTGATTTTTGTTTTGAAGATCATATTCAAAAACTTATTTGATGGAATCATGTTATACCTAAAGTAATGTTACCTTTATCTAGAGAGGGTTGTGTTTTTCTCTGTCAGGAATCTGGAGCCTCTACCAGTGTACCACCATAAATTGTGTTAAAATTTGAGATTAAACTACGCAGTCCTGGATTTTAATCAATAGGTGGAAAAAATTTGAGCTTCAAGGAGGTAAGCTTCAAGTAAGGCAGATTATGATGCCTCCTTCTTCTGTAACATATTGTGTGACTTTGAGTTGAGTTTCTTCCTGAGTTTTCTCATCTATTAAAAAAGTGCATAGCTGGTAACCCCCAAAATCATTTTTATATTTATTTATTTATTTATTTATTTATTTATTTATTTATTTATTTATTTTTAGTCTCTACCGTATTTCTTTGTTGTCCTGTCAGTACCAGTTCTGGTGTGGGTTGTTTTTTCTTTCTTTATATTTTTTCTGAGCACAGTGATTGAGTACATGCCCCACTAATAGGGTATAATTATTTTGAGAGTAATATCCATGACTTAATACCGTATCTCTCACTATATTGAATGTAGTACCTTGATGCAGTAGCTAGCTACCCAGTAACTGTTAAATGGATAAGTCAATGAGTGAATAAATTTTAGAGACAGGTACATAGATAAAAGTGATCGAAACAAGCTAAGTATTACCGCAGAGAAGGAACACGTATCTTTTCTATTATAGTTCCCACAGCTTCAACCAAATTTCTTTTGCTATGTATACCTGTCCAATATATTGGCTGGTTGTACTCATACAGTACTAGTCTGAGCTAGAATTTATGAGTAATGGTCCAAATCTGTAATACAGCTTAAAAATAAAGCTTTAAAAACATTGATCCAGATGAAGAATGATAAGATGCAATAAAAGTTTATTTAGGGTATAAAATTTAAAAGGTATGTTCATCAATAATTCATTTTGAAAATCCCCTTAGTATAGCCATTTCTATTCTGTATCTTTAACCAATTACAGGTAACATTGCTAGGAACAGATTTTGACAACAGACTTGTGCAAGGGAATTGTGTGCCTAGAGATTTACTTAAAAGGTAGAATTAAAGTCATTTCAAGAAAGAAATTTAACATATGAAGAAAATATAACCATTTAGCATACTAAATAATTGGTCTAGAGAGTTATGAGTTAAAAATGTACAAGAATTAATAATAGTTTTTAGCAACATATACATTGGGACAGTATTTTTGCCACATCTATTATTTACCTATGCAATCATTAAGTTCATAATTTTTTAAGTATCACATCAAAGAGTGTTATTCAACTTCCTGATGAGTAAATTACTGATAAACATAGTCGATTTTTTCAGTTTTGAAGGTCCTGAAAAATAGATAAAGCATATGACTTCCAATTATTGATAGAAGAGCCAGTCAAACAATATCTTCCATGAATCCTCTTACAATTAGTTTGCTGATTGATATTCAAAATATAGAAATGAATGAATTGCACATAAGGAAATAAGTACTTGTTTTCTGTTGCCATCATATATCACAATACAAGCATTAAAATCTGTTTTAATTATAGAACTTTATGATCATATTTACATGGTCTGTGAATTTGATCTTTGTTTTGGAATTCCTTTAATCCATTCTGATTCTAATCACCTCAGGACCAACTTTAGTGTATTTGTGCAAGGCATAGCCATTAGCTAGCTCTATATGTTGTCCAAACCACCAAATGAGATGTAGCAAATTCTGCCAATTGTCTAAAGTTTTATTATGCACGTTAAATATATGAATATTTGAAATATCAAGATATGTTGTATTTTACCAATAATATTAAAGTATTACTTCTTCACTTTTCACTTGTAGTATGATGTCATTTAAACAAGTCAGTATTATTGAGAGGTGACAATGTGCTACCAGCCCTCACTCTCAGTGCCTTCTCGGCCTCAGCATCCACTCTGGCAGCGCTTGAGAAGCCCTTCAGCCTGCCACAGCACGGTGGCAGCCCCTCTCCGGGCTGACCGACGCCGAAGCCGCCTCTCTCTCCTTGCGGGGAGGTGTGGAGGAACAGGCGCCGGTGGGAACCTGTGCTGTGTGTCATGCTCACAGGCCAGCGCAAGTTCCAGCGGCCCAGGGCAGTGAGGGGCTTAGCACCTGGGCCAGCAGCTGCGGTGGGTGCGCCTGGTCCCCCAGCAGTGCTGGCCCTCCAGTGCTGTGCTCGAGTTCTCACCGGGTCTCAGCTGCCTCCCCGTGGGGCAGGGCTGGGGACCTGCAACCCGCCATGCCCAAATCCCTGCGGCGGAGGGCTCCTGCACCGCCAGAGCCTTGCCAACGAGCACCGCCCCGTCCTCTGGGGCGCTTGGTGCCAACTACCGCCCACGTACTGATGAGTGTGGGTGCACCGCACGGGACTGGCAGGCAGCTCCACTCGAGGCTCCAGTGTGGCATCCACTGGGTGAAGCCAGCTGGGCTCCTGAATCTTAGTGGGGACTTGGATAACTTTTATGTCTAGCTAAGGGATGGTAAACGCACCAATCAGCGCTCCATGTCTAGCTCAGGGTTTGAAAATGGACCAATAAGCACTCTGAAAAATTGACCAATCAGCTCTCTGTAAAATGGACCAATCAGTTCTCTGTAAAATGGACCAGTCAGCAGGATGTAGGTGGGGCCAGATGAGGGAATAAAAGCAGGCTGCCTGAACGAGACAGGGGAAACTTCTTGGATCCGATGCGGTAGCTTTGTTCTTTGGCAATTTGGATGCAGTGACTTTAAGAGCTGTAACACTCATTGGGAAGGTCTGCAAGGGAGGCGAGATGAGGAGCGCAGTAGAGAAGTAAGTGAGGCCACGAACCCACCAGAAGGAAGACACTGCAGCTGCGTCTGTGGGAACAACCTCCGGTCTATCGTAAGAACTGTAACACTCAGTGCAGGGGTTTGTGGCTTAATTCTTGAAGTCAGCGAGACCAAGAACCCACCAATTGTGGACACATTAGTAGAAATTTGATTCATTCTGAAAACCTCTAATCGACTGATCTAAGGTTCAATATTCATTAACATCAAGTATTAGTACAATGGGGAATGAAAAAGTTGGAAATACTCTTCTGTTCTTTCCCTTTCTTTCCGTTCCTCGTTTCCCTCCCTCGCTTCCCTCCTTCCCTCCCCACCTTCCTCTCCCCATCCCTCCCCGCTGCCTTTTCTTTGTTTCCCTGCCTTTGCTTTCTTTGTTTCCCTGCCTTTGCTTTCTTTGTTTCCCTGCTTTTTCTTTCTTTGTTTCCCTGCTTTTTCTTTCTTTCCTTGCCTTTTCTTTCTCTCCCCCTCCCTCTCTGATGGTCTCAGTCTGTCACCCATGCTGGAGTGCAGTGGCTCGATCTCGGCTCACTGCAAGCTCCGCCTCCTGGGTTCACGCCGTTTTGCCTCTTGCTCTCAAGTAGCGGGGACTCCATGGCCTTTTTTTTTTTTTTTTTTTGTTTTAGCGGAGATGGGGTTTCACCATGTCAGCCAGGATTGTTTCGATCTCCTAATTTCGTGGTATATCTGTCTCGGCCTCCCAAAGTGCTAGAACATTTTTTTCTTACAATCTCGGGCTGTGGCGAGTTGGCCCAAGTGTTGTGGGACATTTTAGGTGTCAGGGACATAAACTACTCTCATTTGTCTGCTGTGTGGAGTCCCAGTTACCAGAACACCAGCCATTGTGTGTTCTTTCTAGTTTTCAGGTAGCAGAAAGAACAAGAAGAAATGTTGCACAAACCACCTTGCTTGCATCACATTGGCCAGAATTAGTCACATGTCCATGAAGCAAGCCACAGTGCCTGAAGTAGGACTACAGATTTTCTTTATTCTCCATAGTGGTAAAATACAAACAATTAGAGAAGAAGAGAACTCCTGTAGAGGACAACTAGCAGTAACCTACTCTACTAACTGTCCATTTACTGCTTCATTTTGCTCTAAGATAACATACAAACAGTGAAACTAAAATATGTTTTCAAAATTAGAAATTGTAAGTACTTTAGATAACTAAGATTAAAGAAATGTTACAAATACCACAATATCAACATAGTTATAGAGAAACATGAAACTTAGTACTGATTTTCTGAATATCCAAAATGAAAAGAAGTACCTCAATAATTGATTACATTGTTTTTTATCATTTTGAAAAAGGCACCACTGAAACAAAGTTCTTTGACCCTGAATAATTACAAAATTTATCTCATGGTAATTTTTAGGGAGAAAACTGTATATTATGGTTGACAATATTCCTATAACAGGTGCAGTGATTTTATAAGCTACTTATAGTGTCTTTGAATAAAAGTCAAAATGAAAGCATTATGAAGGCTGTTTTGTGAGTCTCTGAGGAAAAATGATTCCAAAAAAAAAAAAAACCCTTTGGGTATTCTGGCTTATATACAAGGAGAGATTTTAGCCTGCCCAGAGGGCTGGGTGGACTATATACACTATGAATGGTTATCTGTAAATATTACTGTTGCTGAAAGATTTCTGAACAAGTGTAGGAAATTAAGGAATAGATTATCTAATTTTCTGTAGTCTGCCAGCATGTTTCAAATCAATCGAGCTCTCTTAACACCAGGTGTTCTCAAAAGTGAAAAGGGCCTATTTGTTAGCTTTAAGAAGACAAAAATGGGAAAAGATAAAAGAGGTGGAAGCAGAAACCAATTTGCTAAATTTACTAGATTAGACGGTTTATTGAAAAGGTAAGTGAATTTCTCATGTCAGTCATAAAGAAGCTATTTTTGCAATGAAATGTGTGTTTATATCGAAGTCAGAAATTACTTAGTGAATAACTCCCAGTAAATGTGAGATTATTAATTTCAGCTAAATTATGTGTTCTTAGAATTTTATCTTTTCAGGTAGTTTTATGTAGATTATATCTGTTAAAATTTTGTTGGATGTAATTTACATGGTTTACAAACAATAAATTCCTGAGACTAGATATGATAAATTTATAGTTTGTTGAATGTTTTGTTATTGAGGAATCTCAGATGGGTCCTCAGATGGCAAGGAAAATAAACTCATGGACCCTAAGTTTTTTAATTACTTTTATCTAATTTTTGATATGGTGATAATTAAAAGGGAGATGATAAGAAATTGAATTATTAAGCATTGTTAAATAATATGATGCATTAATAATGCGTAAGTTACACTCCTGAGTTGCGTTGTTTCAAAGTATAAAGCAATTTTTAGATTTAATCAAAACTCTTTAAGGAATTAATCTTTGCTTTTAGGGAGCACTATAGATTGACATCAGAAATTTCTCTTATTTCCATGTAGGAAGAACCTTTTGTGATGGTCTCTGAAAATGTCTTGGGTAAGCCGAAGAAATACCAGGGCTTCTCCATTGATGTTTTGGATGCCTTATCTAACTACCTGGGTTTTAACTATGAAATTTATGTAGCACCGGATCACAAATATGGAAGCCCACAAGAAGATGGGACATGGAATGGCTTGGTAGGAGAACTTGTCTTTAAGGTAAGAATTAATTAATTAATTTGTCTCATACCTAAAGGTTCAATTATTTGTCTCGTACCTAAAGTTTCAACAGTAACACCTTGAAGCTAATTTCATATAAAATAAGTGCGATGTGTTTAGGTTGGTTAAGCATTAGGTGGTGGAGTTGAGTACAAAAGTCTCACTCAATACTATTTTATGAACTTTGTGGAAAAAAAAGTAAATGACAAAATAGACCAAATGTTAAAGTATATCCTGTGGTAGAAGAGGGTTTAGAGGAAGGCCTTTTGTTTGCTCAACTTATACCCCAAAAGCTGTATATGATACATGATGAAATCACAATGTAACATACACACGTAATTAGTACTATTGTTTTCTTTTTAAAAATGTGATGTTATTGGAAAAAACATGCACTACTTAGAAACTAATCATTTCATTTTGGAATCTAATCAAGATAGGTCTATACATACGTATATATTTTTCTTTGTTCTTTCAATTCTCAGAAAGGTGTTTAAAACCTGTGTCTGTCTTCAGTCCTGTCAGAATCTGCTTCAGTTTCTTGAGGCTCTGTTATTAGGCCCATAGACGTTTATAATTATTAAGTTTTCCTCATAAATTATTGACTAGTTGGGTTTAAGTTTATAACTTACTATTTGGTTTATATGTATACTATTTTTTTCTCTGTTACTTCTTTTCCTGTTTTTCTTGGGGTTAATTAAATATATTTCAGTACTTGATTTTGTTGCTCTTACTGCCCTTTTAGTTGTCTCCCTTTGTATTTTGGTTCGTGGTTAGTCTAAAGGTCATAATATGCATTCTTAACTTACCACATTCTATCTAAAGTTAATATTGTACCACTCTATATAAAAAGTAATCAACTTTCAGCAATATAATTTTATTTACACTCACCCTATCATTTTTGCTATTGTGGTCACATATTTATATTTTATTAACCTCATACCAAATATCATAGTTTTTTATTTAAATAGTTATGGTCTTTTAAAGGTACAAAAAGAAAAAAAAAGACAGTTACTGGGATATAATCACTTATTTATCATGTCTGGGGCTCTTTATTCCTTACATATATTTGAGCTCCCATTTGGTATAATGTACCTTCAACCTGAAAAACTTTCTTTAGAGTGTCTTGAAGTGCAGTGCTACATAGGTAGCATATATTCTCAACTTTTGTCTACCTTGAAATGTCTTTTTTTAACCCTCATTTTGAAATGATATTCTTACTGGACATCAAACTCTGAATTCACAGGGTTTTTTAATGTTCATCATTTTAAAGTTGTGATTCTATCACTTTTGCCCTCTATTTTTTCTGGTGAGAAATTAGCCATCATCTGTATCCTGATTCTTTATATGTAATGTATTTTTGTATGTGTTGGTGGCCGTTTTACAATTTTCTCTTCACTTTTTGGTGTTTAGAAATTGAACTGTGATGTTCTAGATACGATTTTCTTTGCATTTATTGTGCTGGGAATTCACTAAATTTCTGGGATAGGTTACATTTAGTAAATATAGGGAATTATTTCTTCACATTTTTTTTACCTTCTTTCCTTTCGCTTCTTGATTTGAGGCTCAGAGAATATTCAAGTTAGATCACGTAATGTCTCCTAAGTCACAGAGGCCTTGCTTCTTTTATTAAGATATTTTTTACTCCCTGACCTTCAGATTTAACAATTTGTCTTGATCTGCCTTAAAGTTTACTGATATTCTGCCATCTTCAATTTTTTTTTAAGTCCATTCAGTAGCTTTTTCATTCTAGATTGCTTATTTTTTCTTTCCGGAATTTCAAATTTTTGAAATAAATTTTGTGTTTCTGCTGAGATTTCCTTTTTTTTTTTTTAATCAGTTTTGACTATCTTAAAAGTTCATGATCACATTTATAATGGCTTCTTTGAAGTCCTTGTTTGCTAAAATGTCAACATCTTACCATCTCAGAATACATTGCTTTTTCCTGGTTCTTCACATTTCTGGTTACATTTGATTATATATTGGACTTTGTGGTTGATATGTTGTTAAGACTTGTGATTATATCTCTGAAATTGTATATTCTGAAAAGGATTGATTTTCGTTTCAGTGGATAGTTAAATCACTATCTGTTCCTCTTGAATTCGTGAGATTTAGCTTTAAACATTGTTAAGTCTATTTGATGTAATCTTAGTTCCTAGGGCAAATCCCTTGGTTTTTGTAATCCACACATTTCTAAGATACAGCCTTCTGGAGTTTCTGGGGAAAGTCTGTGGTTTTCCTCAAGCCCTTCTGACTTAGAGGAACTCAAAATTCAATCTATATCTTCCCTGTCATAGGCAACAATTGTAATCCCCTCTTTAGCACGTTTAGCCTTCTAGCCATTACTGTTTGCTAATTTTCCTAGGATCTCTTCCATATATATGCAGTTTAGGGGTCAGTTAAGGATTTTAGAAAGCTTATACACAGATTTTGGGGTTCACTCCTCTGTGGCATCCTCCTCCTTGTGTTTCGCTTTTCAATTTCTGGGAACCCCAGCTGATTCAAACTCCATCCTCTGACAAGTTAGTTAATAAGGCTGACTTTCTGCTTGAGTGCTGTCCACCCCATCCCAGCTGAACTGAAGTGGGTCCTCAATGACTAAGCCTTATAAAGGAGGGCTCCACCCAGTGCAGGTATTATTTTCGAGGATACCCTGCAGTTTCTGCCTGCTTTGGGTTCCTCTCCAGTCCTTTCTATATATATATTTTTTTCAATTTGATCCTGAATTTTCAATTTTTATTCTTATAGGACTAGTCCAATAAAAGCTAGTACATCATTGCTAGAACTGGAATAATTTCTCAAATGCTTTAAAGTACTCAGAAGGCTAAAGGATCTAACCTAAATTGTTTGCAAGGAATGGAGAAGAGTAGAAATAAAAGGTTTCTTAAGGCAGTGGTAGGGAAAATAATAAAGCTATTTCTATATTCTATAAAATCCTAATGAATTTGGTCTATTTAATACATAAGTTACATACAGAATTTTATTGCCAAAGCGTTAATATCATTATTTCTAATAGAAAATGGGCAATCATCAGTCCTCATCCTTCTTATTAAAACCACACCACTTCATCTTCTGTTCTTTTAAAACTCACAAATTCAGTGTTCTACCTTTATATTTCTAAGGACTCTTTCCTGATCTAAACCCAGATTAGCAATTATGTTAAAATTAGTGTAAAGAAAAGGCATTATACAAATTTATTCTATATAGATAGTGGTTAAAATCCTTAATGAGTTATTATGCTAATAAACTACACTTGCTAGATGCAAATTAAACATAAAAAGCATTCAAATTAGTATGTTGATGTTGTTTTTAATTTGTTTTATGTGCTTGCACTAGTTAGTTTAATTTTGGAGACTTGCTTTTTCACCTATAAAATGAGGAGTCCAAGTATGTTAATGGTAAGATCACTTCCAAATACTCTGTTTCGAAAATATAAGTTTATTGTATAACAATCATACACAAGAAATAAAATGTTTTACATAAACAGTTTCACTGTATTATTTACATGTAAGAGCATGTCATCATTGTATGATAATTTATAGTTTAGCAGGAGTCCTTTTGTAAAAAAAAAAAAAAAGAAGACACATGATTTTTAGACAGAAAAATTATAAAACTGTTCACTGGAACTAGGTTTTTATTTTGTTCAAGTGGATATTTAGTCACTCTGACTAGTCTTTAGGAAAACTATTAAGCAGGTGGAGGAGAAGAAACCTACAAAAAAGACTTGGAGTAGATAGAGACATTAAAAGAAAATTGAGAAAATGGGTTGTCATGAATGCCAACAGAAAATAACATTTCAAGAAGGAAAGAGCAGGCAACGTTAGAAAATGACTATCAAGTTAAAGGTATATAATGTTCCCTTAACTGTATTCTGACTGTTATCAGTAGACCTATAAGTTCTATTTTTTAACAATTACAAATGTTAATTCAATTGCATAAATGATACTTTAATAAAATACCATAAAATAATTTAACTTTCCCAGAAAATTAATCGTATTCAAACTTTATGAGGTGTATTTAGCCCTATCAAGCAAAATTACACTGTTGAAATAGCATAAAAATATTACTATGGAGTTCCAGAAAAGCAAGCTTATTATTGTTATTATACCTTCTGATAATATAGATACTTTTGTGAATCTAAGTATATATTAAATAAATATTGCCAATGAATGTCTGTACAAAACAATAAGAATTCTAAAATTAACAGGATTAACTCATGTGTGCCTTTCTAAGGGGCTACCAAACTTAAAAGATTGTTTCACATAGTGCAGTTTTATATGTCATAATGATTATGCACAAACCATCACATTAAAGAAGAGTCAAAGAAGAAATGATGGAAAGTGAGCTCTAAATTCATATGATTATTCCACAGTGATTAGATCACACGTTAGAGAGTTTTCTCATTAAAACCAGAAGTCAGCGGTCCAGTACATACATACTTTTAAGAGAGGAAAATGCAGTCAGAGAGAGAGCGAATGATTGATATGATGTACATATGGAGTCTATTTAAAAACTAATCATATAGTAGAGTCTCCTCAAGTCCTTCTCTGCCTCACTACTTTTATAATTTTCTGCAACTAATGTGTTCTTAAAATTTATGAAAACACAAATCTGGCCAAAAGATGTTGAACAGATAAATGAGAGGTATCTTCTGCTTAGTACAGGAGAAATATTTAAGGGTGAGTTAATGTAACTGAGAAATTACTTTCTCCTAGTTTAGAAGGGAAGGAGAGGCCCACAGAGAACTTTATATAAGAAATAAAAAATGTATCAAGTTTAGGATAGAAGTACCAAAAAAAAATAAAAACAAAGATAACTCAGATACAGTTGGATGTTTGATGATATAGTTTCTTCTTTCACTGACTTTCAAGTCAGCAGCTTTTAAAGTGGAGTATTTGGGGGTACCAGACTTTCCGAGGGGCAAGCCAGTATATTTGGCACAGAAAAATTTCAAGGAGTTGAGTGACATTTTGAAATAGAAACTAAAAACTTCCTTTTTCATA